GAAAACAGCTTAAACAAATGCAAATGCAGCTACTTTGTTGTTATTCTGGCTGCATTGTTTGACGTGACTGTGTTAGCCAAAGTTGGCTAGCTAGCAAGCAAGGGAGAAGAACGCTACCAGCCATCATGGCAATGGAACATTTAGAACGAACAACTGGATCGCGTCCATAGATTTAGAACAAAAATACTTAACAACTGGGTCGCGTCTCTGGCAACCGAACCGATAGAATGAACAACCAGTTGGCTTGGGTAGCAACCCTAGATTTGTGTCGGGACTATATCTCGTGAAAGGATTAAATAGTATGAATAAATTCTTCAAAATAACGTTTTAATGAAAATATGTCAATCATTCTTTGAATATGTTGGTAACCCGTTGTATAAAAGTGATAATGCTCTCGAAGACGGTGTTTGGAGGATATATTGGCATGGTTTGCCGGCCCTTGACTTCGTTTCGGGCCTAACAACACCTGTGCCAATATATCCTCCAAACACCGGCTTCTCTGGCATTATCACTTAACTATCTAGCTCATGGTTAGCTAGTTAAGGCTACATTAGCCGTCTATTTGTCTAGCCATTTAAATGCATGAGAAATTCATAAAAACAAGTTTAGCTTTCTTTGGCTTTTATAAACCAACAGTCTAGCTTACTAGTTAACTAGATAACTATCTTAGATGGTGAAGCTAGGGCTAGGCGTTCTTGATAATATTGAGACTTTGTGTATGTGGGCAGTTCACCTGACAAGGGGGCAAGGCTATGTCCGTTTGTTAGATGAACCCACGGGCTCGTGATCAAATAAATACTTGGTAAAATCTCCACAGAATGTCTAAGTAAATTCTTGCATCTTGAACTTCTCAATACCAGAAACTCATCATAACAGTCATGTTATCTCTGTGCATTCAAATTGCATCGATAAAACATTGTCCGTAGGTTATGCCTGCCCATATCATAACCCCACCGCCACCATGGGGCACTCTGTTCACAATGTTGACAAACCACTCACCCTCACGACGCCATACACGCTGTCTGCCATCTGCCCGGTACAGTTGAATCCGGGATTCATCTGTGAAGAGCACACTTCTCCAGAGTGCCAGTAGCCATCGAAGGTGAGCATTTGCCCGCTGAAATCGGTTACGACACCGAACTGCAGTCAGGTCAACACCCTGGTGAGGACGACGAGCACACAGATGAGCTTCCCTGAGACGGTTTCTGACAGTTTGTGCAACATTTTTTGGTGGCTGGTCTCAGACGATCCCGCAGGTGAAGAAGCCGGATGTGGAGGTCCTGGGCTGGCATGGTTACACGTGGTCTGCGGTTGTGAGGCTGGTTGGACGTACTGCCAAATTCTCTAAAATGACGTTGGAAGCTGCTTATGATAGAGAAATGAACATTCAATTCTCTGGTAACAGCTCTGGTGGACATTCCTGCAGGCAGCATACCAATTGCACGCTCCCTCAAAACTTGAGACATCTGTAGCATTGTGTTGTGTGACAAAACTGCACATTTTAGAGTGGCCTTTTATTGTCCCAAGCACGAGGTGCACCTGTGTAATGATCATGCTGTTTAATCAGCTTCTTGATATGCCACACCTGTCAGGTGGATGGATTATCTTGGCAAATGAGAAATGCTCACCAACAGGGATGTAAATGTAAACAAATTTGTGCACAAAATCTGAGCTAAATAAGCTTTTTGAGCGTATGGAAAATTCCTGGGATCTTTTATTTCAGCTCATGAAACATGGGACCAACACTTCACTAGTTGTGTTGATATTTTTGCTGAGAACTATTTGTGTCTGTAATAAAGCCCTTTTGTGGGGAAAAACTCATTCTGATTGGCTGGCCTGAGTGGGCTCCCAAGTGGGTGAGCCTATGCCCTCCCAGGCCCACCTATGGCTGTGTCCCTGTCCAGTCATGTGAAATCCTGAAAAACGCATGTCAAAAATGTTATAAATTGATTCGCAAGTCAAATACTTATTTCCCTCATTAAAATGCAAATCAATTTATAACATTTTTGAAATGCTTTTTTCTGGATTTTTTTGTTGTTATTCTGTCTCTCACTGTTCAAATAAATCTACCATTAAAATTATAGACTGATCATTTCTTTGTCAGTGGGCAAACGTACAAAATCAGCAGGGGATCAAATACTTTTTTCCTTCACTGTAGCTATATAGCTTCTTTGCAAAAAAACTAGCCTAGTATTCATGGCACATTATAAATATCTGACTGCTATTAGGATAGTATTCTGTACAAGACACAAGACCAAATAAGACAAATATTAGTTAAATAAAATATGCAACAGTAAATTACAATTTTCTATATATATTTAGTTTCGGATCAAGATAGCTAGTAGCTAGCTAGCTGACAGCAAAGGTGTCAGCTTGAGATGACCTGCAGGAGCTTGCAGGGATTTGTAGTCACTTGGCTCTGTCATATCCTCACATGGTCTCTCCTATCATTGCTACGCAGACGACACACAATTAATTTTCTCCTTTCCCGCTTCTGATAACCAGGTGGCGAATCGCATCTCTGCATATCAGTGTGGATGTCGGATCACCACCTCAAGCTGAACCTCGACAAGACAGAGCTGCTCTTCCTTCCGGGGAAGGACTGCCCGCTCCATGATCTCGCCATCACGGTTGACAACTCCATTGTGTTCTCCTCCCAGAGTGCAAAGAACCTTAGTGTGACCCTGGACAACACCCTGTCGTTCTCCGCTAACATCAAAGCGGTGACCCGATCCTGCAGGTTCATCCTGTACAACATTCGCAGAGTACGACCCTACCTTACACAGAAAGTGGCACAGGTCCTAATCCAGGCACTTGTCATCTCCCGTCTGGATTACTGGCACTCGCTGTTGGCTGGGCTCCCTGCCTGTGCCATTAAACCCCTACAACTTATCCAGAACGCTGCAGCCCGTCTGGTGTTCAACCTTCCCAAGTTCTCTCATGTCACCCCGCTCCTCCGCACACTCCACTGGCTTCCAGTTGAAGCTCACATCTGCTACAAAACCATGGTGCTTGCCTACGAAGCTGTGAGGGGAACGGCACCTCCTTACCTTCAGGCTCTGATCAGACCCTACACCCAAACGAGGGCACTACGTTCATCCACCTCTGGCCTGCTAGCCGCCCTACCTCTACGGAAGCACAGTCCCCGCTCAGCCCAGTCAGAGCGTCTGCTAAATGACGTAAATAAATAAATAAATAGTCTTGCATGATGTCTACTTTGATGCTAAATAGCATTTTTGAATCTGAGAGTAAATAGAGCCAAATATATTGCTAAAAGTCACCTTGTCCGAGAGTGATTTACACAGTTATCAAAACGTCACACCAGGGTAAGCTTACACGAAACACAGCCCTTATTTGAAGTGTTTCTAAAATCCACAATAGATAAAATGAATGGTGAAAAAATGATTGGAACCATTTCTGTGTTTGACCACTAGGTTTTATGTGTATTATGACACATTCACTGTAGGGCTCAATATGAACAATAGTCAAATTAGGTAATTATTTGCTTTTGTTGAATTTATATAAAAGCATTCCGACATTGTTTAGCATTATCTATTCCAAATATGGCATGATACAACATTTTTGTATCCGTTTGAATCACTTTCGACTGGGGACTTTTATTTTGATTCCACTATTGCGGCTAATCCCTATTGTGGCTAGCTTCACACGGGTCAATATGCTACGATACAGAAGCTGAGGAAAGGGTGCCGAGAACAAGCCACAGAATTGCAGTATTGTCGTTGATGAAGTCTGATAATCGCAATAGTTATCTCCAATACTAAATTAAGCAGGCGTTCGACAGCTATACCATTCTCTCCTATTATGAAAGCATTATAGAAAACAATTAAGGAACGCTTCTAAACCATCTGCTACAACTTCAGGGGGGAAAGAACTGTAAACGGATTTTCTTGCCTCACAAAGTTTTTTTCCTTTCAATGTTTCACTGCGATAAGTCAAAAAAAATATTGCAGCAGCTCGATTCACGAGGAACAAACAGGTGCTTTTGATGGGGAATTTGCCGACACTTTAACAGGTTAGTAGTTTCTTTCAGTCAAGTTGGTATTATGGGAGTCTTCAAATGGGTGAAAAATAGAACACAATCAACTAACTCCCCTATGATTCCAAGAGCTCATTATATACTCTTCAAGGTAAATCGGAATATCACAGGCTAATGTACCAGTTTGTTCTATGGTTAATTGGTTCGACATTTCTATTTCTGCTTACCAGGTAAGATAGTTATGCTTTCTGCTCAGGCTAAGGTAATGGTTATTGCAATAAATGAACATATGAAAGCCCTGCGGATGCTGACATACTCAACCTATTCCGTTTTCTAGAATGTCATTGATTCTACATTATAAGAATGTTACACACAGTGGGCGGCAGGTAGCCTAGCTGTTAGTGCATTGGGCCAGTAACCGAAAGGTCGTTATTTCGAATACCCAAGCCGACAAGGTTAAAAATCTGTCGATGTGTCCTTGAGCAAGGCATTTGCTAATTTGCTCCAGGTAAGCCATACTACTATGGCTGACCCTGTAAAACAACACAACACCTGCTCTTTCCATGACATAGACTATCCAGGTGAAAGCTATGATCCCTTATTGATGTCACTTCAATCAGTATAGATGAAGGAGAGAACTCAATATTAGGAAGTTGTTTGTAATATTTGGTATACTCAGTGTATATATATATATATATATGGTGTTCTGCTTTCATTATTATCATTGTGTTTTGCATAGATGATTAGTATTAGATCACTAACCACACTTTTTAAAATTATTATAGCATCTGAACATGATCTGGGAGGGTATGTATTTTAATGCAAATCAGTGTAGAGTATGTACTGCTTTTTCATATATTAATCCACCATAACTGTAGGATATTATTGTGTTTCTGTGCAGAGCATAATTGCTAGTAAGCTGACTATGTACAATCGGTATGTAACAACAAGTGCACAAACTGCATACTAAACATCCCTCTTTTCCAACCATTTATTCTTATAGGGTGACCTGTTCATATGAACACATTGCTGGAGAACAACCAGAGAAGATATTGTCTCTGGTGTTCCTGTGGGATATGAATGATAGCTTGAGAATGTCACATGAGATCATGATGTTTCACCAAATGACGGAACAAGCCCAGAACACCAGCTGTGAAGCACCCATCCCCATCTGCAATAAGAGTGCAAGTGGAGACTCACTACAGCTGCCAACCTTCTCCACAGCAGCCAAAGTCAGAGTAATCATTACTTTCACTCTGTGTGCCGTGTCAGCTGTCTGTAACCTTGCTGTGCTGTGGGCCGCCAATACCAACGGCAAGCGCAAGTCCCACGTTAGGATATTAATAATTAACCTGACTGTGGCAGACCTGCTGGTGACTTTCATCGTCATGCCTGTTGATGCTGTCTGGAATATCACAGTTCAGTGGCAGGCAGGAGATGTCGCCTGTAGGCTGCTGATGTTCATGAAACTTGTTGCCATGTACTCCTGTGCTTTTGTCACAGTGGTCATTAGCTTGGACCGCCAGTCTGCTATCCTCAACCCACTGGCCATCAATGAGGCCAAGAAGAGAAGCAAGATCATGTTGTCTGTGGCGTGGGTGATGAGTGTGATTCTGTCTGTTCCCCAGGTGAGTCTCTGGTTAAGAGAAGTTTCATGTTTTCTCTCCTCAGCCTGGTCTCAGGACACAACAACAATGATCTAAATATACAGTGGGGAAAAAAAGTATTTAGTCAGCCACCAATTGTGCAAGTTCTCCCACTTAAAAAGATGAGAGAGGCCTGTAATTTTCATCATAGGTACACGTCAACTATGACAGACAAATTTAGATTTTTTTTTCCAGAAAATCACATTGTAGGATTTTTAATGAATTTATTTGCAAATTATGGTGGAAAATAAGTATTTGGTCACCTACAAACAAGCAAGATTTCTGGCTCTCACAGACCTGTAACTTCTTCTTTAAGAGGCTCCTCTGTCCTCCACTCGTTACCTGTATTAATGGCACCTGTTTGAACTTGTTATCAGTATAAAAGACACCTGTCCACAACCTCAAACAGTCACACTCCAAACTCCACTATGGCCAAGACCAAAGAGCTGTCAAAGGACACCAGAAACAAAATTGTAGACCTGCACCAGGCTGGGAAGACTGAATCTGCAATAGGTAAGCAGCTTGGTTTGAAGAAATCAACTGTGGGAGCAATTATTAGGAAATGGAAGACATACAAGACCACTGATAATCTCCCTCGATCTGGGGCTCCACGCAAGATCTCACCCCGTGGGGTCAAAATGATCACAAGAACGGTGAGCAAAAATCCCAGAACCACATGGGGGGACCTAGTGAATGACCTGCAGAGAGCTGGGACCAAAGTAACAAAGCCTACCACCAGTAACACACTACGCCGCCAGGGACTCAAATCCTGCAGTGCCAGACGTGTCCCCCTGCTTAAGCCAGTACATGTCCAAGCCCTGTCTGAAGTTTGCTAGAGTGCATTTGGATGATCCAGAAGAGGATTGGGAGAATGTCATATGGTCAGATGAAACCGAAATATAACTTTTTGGTAAAAACTCAACTCGTTGTGTTTGGAGGACAAAGAATGCTGAGTTGCATCCAAAGAACACCATACCTACTGTGAAGCATGGGGGTGGAAACATCATGCTTTGGGGCTGTTTTTCTGCAAAGGGACCAGGACGACTGATCCGTGTAAAGGAAAGAATGAATGGGGCCATGTATCGTGAGATTTTGAGTGAAAACCTCCTTCCATCAGCAAGGGCATTGAAGATGAAACGTGGCTGGGTCTTTCAGCATGACAATGATCCCAAACACACCGCCCGGGCAATGAAGGAGTGGCTTCGTAAGAAGCATTTCAAGGTCCTGGAGTGGCCTAGCCTGTCTCCAGATCTCAACCCCATAGAAAATCTTTGGAGGGAGTTGAAAGTCTGTGTTGCCCAGCGACAGCCCCAAAACATCACTGCTCTAGAGGAGATCTGCATGGAGGAATGGGCCAAAATACCAGCAACAGTGTGTGAAAACCTTGTGAAGACTTACAGAAAACGTTTGACCTGTGTCATTGCCAACAAAGGGTATATAACAAAGTATTGAGAAACTTTTGTTATTGACCAAATACTTATTTTCCACCATAATTTGCAAATAAATTCATTAAAAATCCTACAATGTGATTTTCTGTATTTTTTTCTCTCATTTTGTCTGTCATAGTTGACGTGTACCTATGATGAAAATTACAGGCCTCTCTCATCTTTTTAAGTGGGAGAACTTGCACAATTGGTGGCTGACTAAATACTTTTTTCCCCCATTGTACTTCCTGTATACCCCAGGGATGTTACATTTTAAGTATAAAAAAAACATCAGATGACATAACAACCTTGCAGCAGCTTAAAAATAATAATAATAATAATAATAATAATAATACATTTAATTTTAATTTTTCATGACACCCAAAGTCACTTTACATACACAAGATAATCAGCAGGATAAAAAAAAAATACAATACATTAAAATAAGTAAGTATATAAAGTACACTAAACATGATGACAGACTAACCGTGGAGAACACTAAACATGATGACAGACTAACCGTGGAGAACACTAGACATGATGACAGACTAATCGTGGAGGACACTAAACATGATAACAGACTTATCGTGGAGAACACTAAATATGATGACAGATTAATCGTGGAGAACACTAAACATGATGACAGACTAACCGTGGAGAACACTAAACATGATGACAGACTAATCGTGGAGAACACTAAACATGATGACAGACTAACCGTGGAGAACACTAGACATGATGACAGACTAATCGTGGAGGACACTAAACATGATAACAGACTAATCGTGGAGAACACTAAATATGATGACAGACTAATCGTGGAGAACACTAAACATGATGACAGACTAACCGTGGAGAACACTAAACATGATGACAGACTAATCGTGGAGAACACTAAACATGATGACAGACTAACCAGGGAAGTGAACTAGACAGAGGATAAAAGCTAAGACAACAGAGAATCTGTGTAAGCCTGTGTGAAGAGGTGTGTCTTTAGCTTGGACTTGAATATCTGTATGTATTGTGAGGTTCTGACATCGAAGAGGGAGGGAGTTCCAGAGTTGGGGAGCTGCACTGCTAAAAGCAAGGTCTCCCATGTAGCAGAGCCTGGTGCGAGGGATGGTGAGGAGGCCAGTGTTAGAGGAGCACAGTGAACAGGTGGGATTGTAGGGATGCAGGAGGTCAGTAAGGTACAATATGTGGGCACCAGTTCATTGAGTGCCTTGTAGGTGAGCATGAGCAATTTGAAGAGGATCCTGTATTGAACTTATTCAATGCCTATACATAGTATACATGCCAGCTGCAGACTGAAATGAAAAAGTCTAGTGCATTGTCTTCTTCTTCACCTCATGTAGAGGTTGAGAGTTTCAGAGTGTCTCCATTTCAAACGTGTGGACTAACGTCTCACGTTTTCTGGTCTTTCTGGTCTAACCATTTTGTAACGTGTAGCTTCAGCTTCACGTCTGCTGATCTTGTAGAGTGTCACCCATTTTAAGCCGTTGTCTTCCTGGTCTGAGGTGAATTTCCTCACAAGGCTTTTTATGCACTCGGGTTAAAAGGGGCGTTCCATCATGTTTGTGCTCATCTGGGTGTGGCCACTGACTGAGAACAAATCAATATGGAAAACAATCATCTCATCTAGAATGCTAAAATCACATTGTTATCTTCACAAAAGTATTATTATACTTAATCATTCATTTTAAACAACAATTAGATGCAAACCTCATAACTGGGAAGTGTACACCCCCAGAGATACAGTTATGTTGTTCCACCGTCTTTAATGACATCACAACATAGTAACGAATTTGACATAATTGTTCTTTAAGTCCCCACCAACCATTTCCCACATTCTTTGAAGTAGGAATATTGTTTCATTATCCCCTTTTGGATGTTGGAGTCTTGGCGGGAAGACTTCCTTTGTCTCACAGGGAAATTTCCTCTCCCAATACTGCATGGCAAGGAAAATAAAGTTTCTGCAAGGAATTTACGACCGGTCATAAACCTGGCCCCCAGGAAAGGGGGTGTTCAAACCTTTGCCTAGCCTGCATCTTTGAACCTCAGCCCATGAGGGCAAGTCATGACAATGGTTTAAGAGTCAACTTTAAATGTGATAGATAACTGGTGAGGAGGGCTTGCCCTACATCATTTACTGACTCCTGATTATGACAGTAATTATGGAGTCTCTGCAAATAAAAGCCATCCAACTACATACAGTGAGGGAAAAAAGTATTTGATCCCCTGCTGATTTTGTAAGTTTACCCACTGACAAAGACATGATCAGTCTATAATTTTAATGGTAGGTTTTTTTGAACAGTGAGGGACAGAATAACAACAAAAAAATCCAGAAAAACGCATGTCAAAAATGTTATAAATTGATTTGCATTTTAATGAGGGAAATAAGTATTTGACCCCTCTGCAAAACATGACTTAGTACTTGGTGGCAAAACCCTTGTTGGCAATCACAGAGGTCAGACGTTTCTTGTAGTTGGCCACCAGGTTTGCACACATCTCAGGAGGGATTTTGTCCCACTCCTCTTTGCAGATCTTCTCCAAGTCATTAAGGTTTCGAGACTTACGTTTGGCAAGTCGAACCTTCAGCTCCCTCCACAGATTTTCTATGGTATTAAGGTCTGGAGACTGGCTAGGCCACTCCAGGACTTTAATGTGCTTCTTCTTGAGACACTCCTTTGTTGCCTTGGCCGTGTGTTTTGGGTCATTGTCATGCTGGAATACCCATCCACGACCCATTTTCAATGCCCTGGCTGAGGGAAGGAGGTTCTCACCCAAGATTTGACGGTACATGGCCCCGTCCATCATCCCTTTGATGCGGTGAAGTTGTCCTGTCCCCTTAGCAGAAAAACACCCCCAAAGCATAATGTTTCCACCTCCATGTTTGACGATGGGGATGGTGTTCTTGGGGTCATAGGCAGCATTCCTCCTCCTCCAAACACGGCGAGTTGAGTTGATGCCAAAGAGCTCGATTTTGGTCTCATCTGACCACAACACTTTCACCCAGTTCTCCTCTGAATCATTCAGATGTTTATTGGCAAACTTCAGACAGGCCTGTATATGTGCTTTCTTGAGCAGGGGGACCTTGCGGGTGCTGCAGGATTTCAGTCCTTCACGGCGTAGTGTGTTACCAATTGTTTTCTTGGTGACTATGGTCCCAGCTGCCTTGAGATCATTGACAAGATCCTCCCGCGTAGTTCTGGGCTGATTCCTCACCATTCTCATGATCATTGCAAATCCACGAGGTGAGATCTTGCAGGGAGCCCCAGGCCGAGGGAGATTGACAGTTATTTTGTGTTTCTTCCATTTGCGAATAATCGCACCAACTGTTGTCACCTTCTCACCAAGCTGCTTGGCGATGGTCTTGTAGTCCATTCCAGCCTTGTGTAGGTCTACAATCTTGTCCCTGACATCCTTGGAGAGCTCTTTGGTCTTGGCCATGGTGGAGAGTTTGGAATCTGATTGATTGATTGCTTCTGTGGACAGGTGTCTGTTATACAGGTAACACGCTGAGATTAGAAGCACTCCCTTTCAGAGTGTGCTCCTAATCTCAGCTCGTTACCTGTATAAAAGACACCTGGGAGCCAGAAATCTTTCTGATTGAGAGGGGGTCAAATACTTATTTCCCTCATTAAAATGCAATTCAATTTATAACATTTTTGACATGCGTTTTTCTGGATTTTTTTGTTGTTATTCTGTCTCTCACTTTTCAAATAAACATACCATTAAAATTATAGACTGATCATTTCTTTGTCAGTGGGCAAATGTACAAAATCAGCCGGGGATCAAATACTTTTTTCCCTCACTGTAGGCTTAGAAAATTAGGATCACTAAAAGAAGACCTTACCGTGCAATTATAACTTTTTCATAATTCATTTCAAGCATTCAACTCTTTTCAGCTAAAGTCATTGCAAATTCAGTGACATGAGCAGTTAATCATTGTATTACATTGACTGCAGACTAGGCAGGATCGAGCTTCTGCTGCATGAAACACTAGTAACACTGAAGCCAGGCCATACAATTATTGTTAGACATGTTTTTATGGTTAAAGACTAACGTTTCCTTTGTGTTGTCATACAGATGCTGATATTCCACAGTGTGACCATCACGGTTCCAGAGAAGTTCACCCAGTGCACTACCCGCGGGAGCTTTGTCCAACACTGGCAGGAAACCCTGTACAACATGTTCACCTTCGCCTGTCTTTTCCTGATGCCACTGATCATCATGATCTTTTGTTACACACGGATCCTGGTGGAGATATCCAGCCGCATGACCCACGGCAACAGTAGGTCAAATGACATATTTTACCATCAATTGTACTGTTCTATTGGCAATAATGGTAGAGGTAGTGGTAGGTGTAGTATACAATTGTTCATGAGGGGGTTACAAAGAGTGATGTGTCTTAAAGATAAAGGTAATTGAGACTTATTGTCAAATTTGGTGTTAGATGCTAAGATTATGAGCAAGTGTTTATTGCCTTGTTTCAGTGTCTTCTAAGGAGATACATCTCCGACGCTCCCACAACAACATTCCAAAAGCACGGATGAGGACTTTGAAGATGAGCATTGTTATCGTTACTTCCTTCATCGTCTGCTGGACCCCTTACTACCTGTTGGGACTGTGGTACTGGTTCTTCCCTGACTATATGGATGAGACGGTCTCCCATTCTTTGACTCATATGCTCTTTATTTTTGGCCTCTTCAATGCCTGTTTGGACCCAGTAACTTACGGCCTGTTCACCATCCATTTCCGCCATGGCCTGAAGCGCTACTGTCGGAGCACAGCCACGTTCAGTCGTGAGTCAGAGAACAACACTACCCTGACCGGCTCTTTCAGGCGCTCCCCCTTCCGCCTGACACAGCTTACCCAGCAAGGCCAGACCTCCATCACTGGCCAGATGGCAGAGGAGGAACAGGTCAAGAAAACCTGCCGCTATAGCAACTACCTCACAGTTCACAGCAGTGGAGAAGGTGACCCAGGTCTGGCCAGTCTTGAAAGCACTATATGAGGGATTAGAATGAATCCTACTAAAGAACATTGCTTACCCTCATCTTCACACCTTCATCTGCTGGCTCACAATTAATACTTAAAAAAACTAATTGTTGTGCTGCAAGAAATCACATTTGGATACATTTTCACATTCAGCCAGACAGGGCTTATAGTGTAAATCATGGTTTCCCCAATAGGTGAGCATATTTGGCTGGCAGGGGATTTTATTTGCCCTCCCCCTTTTCATTATTTTCTTTGTTGGACATCATTAACTGTAAAATCACCAGGAAATCAGCTCAAATTGATTTTAATGTAGGAAATATGTTCCCAATAATAGAGAGGCATATGTGATCGTATCCTTATGTAATCAAGGTTGGAAATTCCCAATGTATTCAAGGTTTGAAATAATTCAGTTTTTGTCAAATACTATATCTGTTTGGGATTCTTGCAGTCAATTTGCAGTGTACAAATTATTTATAACTATGTGCCGGCCCCCCGACCATCCGCTCAAGGAAAATCGGCCCACGGCTGAATGTAATTGGGGACACTTGATGTAAATCACAAGACACTTATCTGCATATTACTTCAAACAATAGTACTCCCATGGAGTGGTCTTTGGACTTGTACAGGAAACATTGTTTTTCATTTAATAGAGGCATAATAACCAAGCATACCAGTAAAAACAATGTTCCCTCATGGATATATCCAATTCCCTCAAGATGTGCCAAGGAGGAAGCCTATAAATTAATTGATCTTGGTTCAAGTAAAGTTAATCTTGAACCATTACATATGGATGGAAATTCAGCTCGAGGACATCTAGATGCTGAACTTGTGGACTTCATGGGTGGCTTCATCAGAGTTTTCATTGTGCAATGTGAAAAACAGATTTATGTGAATTTAAAAAGATTGACCATTTGCCCTATGATCAGATGAATGTTGTGATACAGTATATATTGTATTCCACCCTAATAGCCTTTATAATTGAAGTGGTTGGGCATAGTGAAGTGTGAATGTACCTTACAATATGTATAGTCTTGGTTGGTTCTTTGGTGATGTGTTATTTATGGAAATTATGTCCAGTGCCTCAGGGAAATCAATGCATAGTGTGTTTGAAGACAACCAAACTGTAAAATTTGTTTGGTTGGTTGGTTTATTTGTTTTGTCATCTAAAAAATATATATTATGTTGTTGTATGTCATAAATTGATGGTCACATTCTGTAGATACTTTAAATGTTGAATTTACTGGTATCAGAAAATGTTGCAGAAAACCCCAGAAGACGATTTGTGTGCTAATATTCAGTTGTATGCTTTTTCTCTTAAGTGTTTCCTTGTGTTCAAATAAAAAATAAGTTAAAGGGGAAAGCAATGTGTGTGCATGATTGCAATATTTGTTAAGTTAAAAGCAAGATGTGTGTGTTTGTGACTTGTACATTATTTAAATAAAGTTGTGTTAATTGTATTAATGCATACTAAACATCTCCTAAATTATTTGAGGATCAGAATTCATCCTAAGTAATTAGTACTATAAAACAGGGGCGCAACGTTGGTTTTAGAAGTGGGGGGGATATAAATATAAATACTTTTTTATCCAGTCGGATAAACACTCCAAACAGCCTACCCGACCACTCGGAGGCGTCCGCATGGTCCTAAAGCACACTGTCGCCTCGTTTTGTATCACATTCCAATCGTTTTGTACCCATCCCCCCCCCCCCCCCCCCCCCCCCCCATCCCCAGTGAAAGTTGCGCCCCTGCAATAATATGTGAGCCTGGTAATACATACAGCTAAATTAAATTGTGTTCATTATCAGATCATGCAGATTGTCTTCTAAACAAAACACTATCTCTGGCCTGATCAATCACGTGATCTTATTTTGGACAGTAATATCCTAGATGCATAGATAATGTAGTATTATCTGATGAATCTCTTCTCCATCTCCAGTGCATTACTCACACACTGTCTGGCTAAATGGCAAATCTCTTGCTAAGCTGCTGCTCGCCAATTGTTTCTTTCCCAGAAGAGGAATCAAATTCTGACAAAGGTAACTATATGGAAAAACAATGTTTGCTTAGACTTTCTATAGACCACTATGTAGTCATTTATAAAGGCTGTTCGAGGGAGCTAGCGGTTGTTTTGAATGTTTACAGCAAGTATAATGCTCTATGTTAATAGAAAACCAAACACATTCATTAATGTTGTATTATACTCAGGCAACTCTTTTTTATTTTGCCTCTCATTCTGTCACTGCCATTCGGAACCACACCAATTAGCAGGAATGACAGGCCCGTACGATATTGCTCATCAGTGACCTGCAGCAGGTATATGTTCTGCCATTTGCATCAAACGACAACCTCATTAATATGGCTGCATCTGCTTCCCAGTCTGCAGCACTGTTGAGTGACACTAGTCACTGACCAAGGTCAGCAGTGACACATCTCAGCAGCTACCAGCCGGCATGGCCTACATATGAGGACACCGAGGTCTGGACCTCTGTAATTCTTTTTAATAAAAAAATAAATAATATTTTGTACACAATAAATAATATAAATTATGGATCAACATCTAAATATTGGTCCCAGCGTTGATCAAAGCTCAGAACGCTTATATTCTTGATCTGACAGTTCTAATCGCTCCTGCCTCTTTGCGAACCAGCGGAATCATGAACAATGGTTTGTTTGTTATGTTTGCCTGCGTCCGCCAGATTTGGCTTTTTAGCAGCACATTCACCACTCTCTCAAACGGCTAACTCCGCCTTCTCGCAGCACAGGCCTGAGACGTGAAACTAATTACCCCAGCTCGCAGTCGGCTCACACTGTGTTTGCGAGATGCCGGACAAAAGGTCATTTTAAAGCCATCCCGCTATTCCTGCCGTTTCTACAGACATTCCCCAAACAAACAAAAACCGACTTTCGGACAATGAGTGAACAATGAGTGCAATGCATGCAGGAAGAAGCAGAGGAGAGAGGTAGAGGAAGCAAGCAGAGAGAGAGGTTAGTACAGTGGTTCCCAAACTTGGGGTCGAGGACCCATGTGGGATCCCCTAAGAAAATCTGTACTAATCTTATCAAACAAAGAGAAAAGAAGATACTGTATGTTTTAAAACTAACATCTCCACGTGGCCTATCTTCCCTATAGGCCTACATTCAAATGCAATCAAAATGCAAACAATACAGTTCTATGTCATACGTTTTCATTTCGTCGCTGATGCTACATTTCAGTGTGAATCAATTCTCATATTTCCTCCCTTTCAGGGGTATAACATTACAATTGTAATTGGCTATGTGTTTGTATATATCAACTGAGGTGAATAAACCTACAGCAGCCAAGGTATAATGGCCAGGGTCATTTTTGCTTGTTTTTGCTGTTCTCCAAATAGCATTATAAAATATTTCATGGAATGCATTAAACAAGTATGACAACAATCCATGCTTTGGTTTAGTTTCCCTGGCACTGTTTCCAACACTCTAACATTTTAGCATTTGTGGCACAAATCCCATTCAAGCCATGAGACAGATATTAGCATTTTCTGTCACAGCATGTCCAAATCATCCAAAAGTATCTAAAAATGACTGTGAAGCTCAACAAAGTCTCTTATGGATGTTTTGAACATAATGCGTGAAAAATGCTAATATCGGTCCCATGACTTAAATGGGATTTGTGCCATGAATGCTAAAATGTTAGCATCTGGAAACTTCCAGGGAAACTAAACCAAAGCATAGATTGTTGTCATACCTTGTCCATAAGACTGCTTACAGGGTAAGGAATCCAATATATAATTTGGGTGAACTATTCGTTTAAGGTTGAATAAATACTGTTACATTAGTTTGAACGAGAGCCTTAACTTTTGGCTATTTACTGTATTACAAAAGTAATATTGAATCGTGTTTGATTGACAACGCAACCAAATATCAACATTTAAAAGTGACGTATCTGGTGCTTGTATAGTTTCATCTGAGCCACTGGATTAATCCTATTCTTAAAATGTTATTTTTGGTTTAGTTGGAGAAGTGAATCCAACATATAATTTGTCAACTTGTAACTTGTAACTTGTAGACAAGTTAGTAGGCTATTTACTGTATTGCAAAAGTGATATTGAATTGTGTTTGGTTTTCAACGCAACCAAATATCAACATTTGAAGGAGATGTATATGTTGTGGCACTGGCTTTAATTCCAGTTTGTCTACAAAATAATTGATATGTTGGATTCATGTCTCCATCTCAACCAAAAATCTAAGAATAGGACTAAATCAAATAAAACTTTATTTAAAGTGCATTTAAAGTATTTAGTCCTATTCTTTAACTTAGATTTTTGGTTGAGATGGAGACGTGAATCCAACATATCAATTATTAATTTGTAGAGAAACTGGAATTAAAGCCAGACACAGATGGAACTATCCAAGCAGAAGATACACTACATGACCAAAATTATGTGGACACATGCTCGTCGAACATCTCATTCCAAAATCATGGGCATTAATAAGGAGTTGGTCCACCTTTGCTGCTGTAACAGCCTCCATTCTTCTGGGAAGGCTTTCCACTAGATGTTGGAACATTGCTGCGGGGACTTGCTTCCATTCAGCCATAAGAGCATTAGTGAGGTCGGGCACTGATGTTGGGCGATTAGGTCTGGTTCACAGTCGGCGTTGCAATTCATGATGGAGTTGAGGTCAGGGCTCTGTGCAGGCCAGTCAAGTTCTTCCACACCGATATCGACAAACCATTTCTGTATGGACCTCGCTTTGTGCACGGGGCATTGTCATGCTGAAACAGGAAAGGGCCTTCTTCAAACTGTTGCCACAAAGTTGGAAGCACAGAATCATCTAGAATGTCAATATATCCTGTAGCGTTAAGGTTTCCCTTCACTTGAACTAAGGGGCCTAGCCCGAACCATGAAAAACAGCCCCATACCATTATTCCTTCTCCACCAAACTTTACAGTTGGCACTATGCATTGGGGCAGGTAGCGTTCTCCTGGCATCTGCCAAACCCAGATGGTTACATTTTATTTGCTATATTAA